ATGGGGAACCCGAGTACAAAGTCGAAGCCGTTCTGGTGCACCGACGACGACGTAGCGGCACCTTGGAGTTCTTGATTCGTTGGAAAGGCTATGATCCTTCCGAGGATACCTGGGTACCTGAACACGACATGGATAACGCCCGCCGTCCTCTACAGGACTACCTTGTCAAGCAGGGTGTTACTTCTACCACCCAGCTTTGAGGGGAAGAAGTGTGAGAGGACGTCCCCGTTATAATATTTTCTCACTATTATATTTTTCCGTTATCCTATTCTCCCTTTTCTCCTCTTTATTTTGGTCTTTATCTCATCTCAATCGGCCTACTATTCTATTTTCTAGAGCCTTCTATTTATTTCTCTTATTTCCTACTTTTCCCACCGACATACCTATTATACGGCACCGACAGCGCCGACAGTGGTGTATACGGTGTAATCTAGGCGTAATCCCAAGTGCCAATAGACTTGCGTGCTTATGCGCACTTGTGATTGTAGTATCGGGAAGGGTGTGTTCCCGAAGGTTCGTTTTATCTCGTTTATCCTTGTACTTTCTGAGTATAAATAGGCCTTGTATTCAGTTTTAGTGACAAGTTTCGATTGAGAATTCGATCCTGTGACAGCGGGGGGCCGTTCGAGGCGAGCGCGGGGGGGGGCCGTACGGGGCGAGCGCGGGGGCCGTTCGGGGGCCGTTCGGGGCTAGTGCGGGGCCATTCGGGGGCCGTGAGAGGCTAGCGCGGGGCTTTAAGGGGCCGTGAGAGGCTAGCGCGGGGGCCGCAAGGGGCCATTCGGGGCTAGCGCGGGGCCGTTCGGGGCCGTAGGAGGCTAGCGCGGGGCCGTAAGGGGCCGGGGGAGGCTAGCGCGGGGGCCGCATGGGGCCGTTCGGGGCTAGCGCGGGATCGTAAGGGGGGGCCGTGAGAGGCCTTAAGGGGCGACGCGAGGGGCCGTGAGGGGCCTTAAAGGGCGACGCGAGGAACGAGGCGCACGAGGGCGCTAGGAAAAGGCGGCGCACTAGGGCGCGGCTAGCGGAAACGGTGGGCCCTAACGTTTTGGTCCTAGGTGAAACCTTGGCTCGTAATACCATGTCAGAATGAGAAACTAGAATGATGTGACTAACAGGAACAAGAGTACAAATATGAAACCCTAATGTGGTGTACCCCCTAAGGTGTAACCCACTACAGCCTAGAACCACATAAACATAAAATGTTTGACAGTAGGACATGAGGTATCCCTGTGATGTGTCTGAGATGCTTCCCCGGCCCCACGTCTTGATAATGTTCTGCTTGCTAAACCCCCTCTCACACTCCACCGTTCTCAAAGGCATCACAGCGACTGCTTTCCACAGGAGCATGATGTTGGGGTAGGAGCGCTGCCACTGGTCGTCGCACAGAGTGTGGTGTGGTCATCATAACTTCCGTGGTGTGGTCTGTTTTGTCGAGCTGATAGCGCGAAAGTGACTGGTGAGGCCGGTTTTGTAACTATCTCGGGCTAGTGGCCAGATGGGCCCTGTTGTACAGAAACGACACGAAGAAAGTTTGTTTCAGTGCATTTCAAAAAGTACCTTGATGAAACAGGGGAATTCTCGAGGAGGCCTGATTTTGAAAGTGAACTTCAAAAAGTGCATTTTTACAGTTGGGGTCAATTGGTAAATACATTTACTGAATCAGGGACATCCTAGAAAAGCGGCCCACAGCAAGGGTAGAAAGGGTAAAACACCCTTGCTGTGCCCGTGGTGTTGGGTTGTCCGGACTCGGCGTCATGGGCACTGTAGGATTTTGCCCGTAGTTTAGATAGAAGGGGGACTGCTGCGTCGTCGCTGACGTGGCGTTGTTGTACGCGAACTCGATCAGCGGCAGCTGCTGCTCCCAAGTGGTTGGGTCGTCGTAGTGGCACGAATCAACTGCTCCATCGTCTGATTCGTCCGCTCCATTTGACCATCGGTCTCGGGGTGGTATGACGAACTGAACTGTAGCCTGGTCCCGAACTGCTCCAAGAGGTTCTTCCAGAAGTTGCTGGTGAACTTCGTGTTCCTGTCGCTGATAATCGCTGCTGGTATCCCGTGTAGGCAAACAACGGGTGCGATGAACAGGCGAGCGGTCTCCTCGGCTGAGATCGACTTTTTGCACGTGGCGAAGTGTGCCATCTTCGTCAACCTGTCAACGATGACCATCACCGTGTCGTTACCCCCAGGGTTCGAAGGTAACCCTGTGATGAATTCCTTGGTAACCTGCTCCCAGGCGCGCTCGGGCTGTGGTATCGGCTGCAATTGACCCGCCTTCCTCTTCCTCGAGCTCTTCATCACCTGACATGTGGGGCGCGAGCCCACGTACTGCTGCACGTCGGTCAACAGCTCCGGCCAGTAGTAATACCGCTGCAGTTGCTGTCGCGTTTTTTCTACCCCAAAATGTCCCGAGGTAATTCCGTCGTGTGCCTTCTGCAGTAGCAGCTCCCTCAGTAGTGAGTACGCGGGTACCCAGATGCGGTTGGTGCCCATTTTTACGTGATTAACTCCTTTAGCTTCTGCCAGTTGCTATGAATTTCCGGTCGTGAAAAATGGGTCGGTGTGGTATCCGTGGGTGAATAGGCCTGTTAAAAGCGGGTTGGTTTGGGCGAGTAGGATGGCATCGAGTTGGGCGGTAGGGCGGGTGAGTGTGTCGGCGATGTTGGATGCGCCTTTCTTGTATGTAACCGTGTAGTGGAAGTTGGACTCGAGGTAGTCCAACCAGCGAAACTGTCGCGGATTGAGATTTGGTTGGGCGCGTAGGTACTGTAGTGATCGGTGGTCTGTCCATACTGTCACGTCGGCACCAGTCAGGTAACACCGCCAAACCTTGAACGCGTGCACGATCGCCAACATTTCGCGGTCGTGTATCGGGTAGTTGCGTTCGGGCGGGTGCAGCTTGCGGGACTCGTACGCGATTGGCTGGAGGCCGTTCCCAAAATCCTGCAACAGTACTGCTCCCACAGCGATGTCACTTGCGTCAGTGACGAGCTCGAACGGACGGTGTGGATCTGCGATGCGAAGCACGGGCGGTGAGCACAAAATGTTTTTGAGGGCCGAGAAGGCAGCTTGCTCTTTCTCCCCCCACGTGTACTCAACCCCCTTCCTCAGCAGGTCTGTCAGCGGGGCAGTCAGCTTCGCCATGTCGGGGACAAACCGGCGCACGTAGTTGACGAACCCCAAAAAACTCAACAACTCAATCAAGTTGGTCGGCGCGTGCCATGCTTGAATCGTCGCAATTTTCTTCGGGTCTATTTCTACTCCTACAGCTGAAATAACGTGCCCCAAAAACTCCAAGCGGTCGTGTAAAAACTCACACTTAGACGCTTTTGTCAGTAGGCAGTTCTCACTCAGTATTTTAAAAAATGCTTCGATGTCCTGTAAGTGCCGTGCTCTGTCAAGGCTGTAAATCAGTATATCGTCCAGGTATACTATGACGCACTTATCTAAGAGCGGGCGGAAAGCTTCGTTCATGGTCATTTGAAAAGTGGCGAGGGCGTTGGTCAGTCCGAAGGGCATGACGGTGTATTCGAAGGATCCGTAGCGTGTGTGAAATGCGGTCTTAGGGCAGTCGGGCGGATTGACGCGAATCTGGTGGTAACCCCCTCGGAGGTCGATTTTCGAAAAAACCCGGGCTGTGTGCAGTTGGTCGATCAGTTCGTCGACTCGCGGGATGGGGTAACAGGATTTGATGGTAACCCTGTTCAGTGCTCTGTAATCCCCCGTCTTTTTTCGGTGCGAACAGTATCGGTGCTGCGAAAGGCGACGAACTAGGGCGAATGAATTCCTTCTCGAACAAGTAATCGAGCTGCTTCCTCAGTTCGTCCAGTTTGGGTTGGGTCAGTCAGAACTGTCGCTATACTATTGGCCGTACCCTTGGTTCTAACTCTATCCTGTGGTCGTGTGGTCGTTGAGGTGGCAGTCCCGTCGGTAAATCGTCCGGGAAAATGTTGCTGTACTGCTTTAACAGTGCTGCCAGATCACTCGGTACGTCGGCCAGCAGTTTATGTAAATCCCCTCCTTTGTCTGCTGCCTCGGCTTCCTATTGAAGTTCTAAGCATAGGTTGGCTTAGGAGCCATAGTTTAGGTTCTTAGTAGGTTAGGTTTAGGGTTGATGAAAGTCGAGAAAGTTGAGAGAGGAGAAAGAGGGCTTCACTATAGGTTGGCAACAACATATAGCAAAGAAACAAAGAAGGTGCACCACCAAACAAAGTTTATAATAACTACACTAACTATAGCTACAGGCAGTTACAGATATATTCTGACACTCCCCCATAACTGCCTGCAGCAGAAGCTAATGCAGAGACACCCCCTGAAGGGGTACACCAAGCGCAGCAGAAGGAGAGGGCAAGTGAGGAGGAGGGATTATATGAGGAGAGGCTGCTGGCAGGTGAAGCTGCTGGCTCCGAGGCGGCTGCTTCCTGGAACCTTCCTCAGTCCTCCAACTCCCCCTTCCACACTCCTTGACAACCCTAGCACCTCTCCCCCAGCTCCCCCACACCCTCACACCCACCCCCCCCCCAGCGGCAGCTGCAGCAGTGGGAGAGAAAGGAGGAGGAGGGGAAGGGGATCACACACACCCATCACCCCCATACCCGCCACCCCCATAGCCTCCGTTCCACGGCTGCACGCGCAGCAAGGAGACGAAGAAGGGGGGGGGGGGGGGGGGGGGGGGGGCAGGGGCGACAGAGCAGAACAGAGCGCACAAGGGCGCAGGCAGAGCAGAGCGCACAAGGGCGCGGGCAGCAGCAGGGCGCACGAGGGCGCGGGCAGCAGTAGAGCGCACGAGGGCGCAGGCAGAGCAGAGCGCACAAGGGCGCGGGCAGCAGCAGGGCGCACGAGGGCGCGGGCAGCAGCAGAGTGCACGAGGGCGCAGGCAAAGCAGAGCGCACAAGGGCGCGGGCAGCAGCAGGGTGCACGAGGGCGCGGGCGGCAGCAGAGCGCACGAGGGCGCAGGCAGAGCAGAGCGCACAAGGGCGCGGGCAGCAGCGGGCGGCAACGGGCAGTGCATGCACGGGCAGCAACAGGCGACAACGGGCAGCACAGGCACGGGCAGCAACGGGCGGCAACGGGCAGCACAGGCACGGGCAGCAACGGGCGGCAACAGGCAGCACATGCACGGGCAGCAACGGGCAGCACAGGCACGGGCAGCAACGGGCGGCAACGGGCAGCACAGGCACGGGCAGCAACGGGCGGCAACAGGCAGCACAGGCACGGGCAACAATAGGCAGCACAGGCACAGGCAGCAACAGGCAGCAACGGGCAGCACAGGCACGGGCAGCAACAGGCGGCAACGGGCAGCACAGGCACGGGCAGCAACGGGCGGCAACAGGCAGCACAGGCACGGGCAGCAACGGGCGGCAACGGGCAGCGCAGGCATGGGCAGCAACAGGCGGCAACGGGCAGCACAGGCACGGGCAGCAATGGGTGGCAACGGGCAGCACAGGCACGGGCAGCAATGGGCGGCAACAGGCAGCACAGGCACGGACAGCAACGGGCAGCACAGGCACGGGCAGCAACGGGCGGCAACGGGCAGCACAGGCACGGGCAGCAACGGGCGGCAACAGGCAGCACAGGCACGGGCAGCAACAGGCAGCAACAGGCAGAACAGGCACGGGCAGCAACGGGCGGCAACAGGCAGCACATGCACAGGCAGCAACAGGCAGTACAGGCACGGGCAGCAACGGGCGGCAACAGGCAGCACAAGCACGGGCAGCAACGGGCGGCAACAGGCCGCACAGGCACGGGCAGCAACAGGCAGCAACAGGCAGCAACAGGTAGCAAAGAAGGTGCACCACCAAACAAAGTTTATAATAACTACACTAACTATAGCTACAGGCAGTTACAGATATATTCTGACACTTCCCGAATGTCGGCCGCGTACACGTCAGCTCCTGCCGCTATGGCGCGTTTCATCATGATCGCGTTGACACGCACCGTCGACGACTCAGGCGAGCCCCAGCGAGGTAAGGCGATGTTATTACTGTTCACTCGCACGGTGCAGTCACCCGTCGTCCAGTCGATTCGCGGATTGTGTCGTCGCAGCCAATCACGCCCGAGTAAGATATCGGTTCCGTCGAGGGTCGCTGCGAGCATTTCCTGGCTAAACGTGAAGTTACCCCCACATCGAATCCGAACCCGGTCTACACGTTCCCGTATCGATAGCGGCGTGCCGTCTACCAGTCTTGCGTCGATTTCAGGTAAACATCTGTCCAGTGGCAGTCACAGTTTTTGTGCTGTGGCAGTGTTGATGAGGCTGTGGCTGGCTCCCCCGTCTACGAAGATTTTTACTAAGTCCGTCCCAATTTCCCACTAAGCAGTATGGGGCTGTCTACCGTAGTCCCCTCCTTATTCGGTCGGGTGTGGTCGATTGCGTGAACCGGCACAATCACTCGATGAGGGTCGGTTGGGTCGGGCGAGCGGCGTGACCTGTCAGTAGAGGGCCTGTCTGCTACTGACTCCCAGCGTTTCCCTGCTCAGCTTCCCCCTTTCCCTTAGTGTTTTCCGGGCATTCGTTCTTGCGATGTCCCGGCCGATTGCACGCAAAGCAGCGCCCTTTGAGCGGTGCGGCAGCGGCATTTGCGGCGATAGCACGTATCGTGGCGCCCTCGTTCGTCCCACGAGGCCGATGTCCCCAATGGCTGCTTCCGTAGGACCCCGGTCTCGGTCGGCGGAAGATATCAAGTTTCTCCGTCATAGCGAGAATTTCTTGAAAGTCGGTGACGCCGCGAAGCTGGATTTCCTGAGCGATGTCCTGCTTCAGGACGCCGATGTAGCGGTCGATGCACTCGCTCTCATGCATATATCACGCTGGTCAGGTGTGGTTGTTCACGATGAACGTGTTTTTCGACGCCAACTACGTCTCGAAGGATACGGCGAAAATCCGCTACGCCGTGTCGTTGCTGCGAAGACCTGCCATGGATTGGTGGCGTGTCATCGTCACGAAGCCGTTAGACTACGCGACTCTACCGTCACGGGAAGGACAAACCTGACCCTGGGCGCAGGGCTGATTTTATCAGGGTAATTACCCTGATTCCAGGGTGATTTCAGACTTGTCACTTTCTGGACCCTGAGAAATCAGGTTTTTCACATTTTGGTCCCTGATCCATTCAGAGTATTGCTTTAGCGGACCCTGAAATTTTGTGTACACTCTCAGTGTAGGGTTTTCACGGACCCTATCAATACAGAGTACGAAGCCTGTGTACCCTGAATGCGATGTTATCGGGGCGAAGTTTCTCGGAAATTTCCTCATAATAACCCCTTCGCATTGATTTCGGTGCCCCCCACGTGCGTAATCCTCCCCCCCCCCGCCGCTCGCTTTATCGAGACGAAGTTTCTTCAAAGTTTCGTTCCCATACACCCACCATCTAGATCGGGCAAATCTGTAATGTCAGATTTTAGGTTGTTGTTATTTGTCGAAATAGATGTGCTCTAACACAGTGCCAGTCACATCGCCACAGTGCCAGTCACTTCTGTCCTCGGTAAAGAAAGAGCGCGTTACTACGACCCTGATTTTCAATTCTCGACCCTGAACATTCAGAGTTCGCTACTTCTCAACCCTGAGCAATCAGGGTGCTGTTTTTCTGGAAAATGTGCCTTCAGGGTATTTTTTTTTTTTTGAAGGTTGAAATCAGGGTACCTAAATTTGGAAAGTCAGCCCTGCCTGGGCGCCGTCGTATTTCGTGGAGGTGCCCCAGTATCGCACGTGGGACGCGTGGTGCGCAGGTCTGCACGCTCGTTTCGAGCCAATTGCGGCTTCGATCGCGGCGCGACAGAGGCTCCGCACTTGGCGCCAACTCGGTTCCGTCCAAGACTACACGAGCGGATCGAAGCATGGCGGACGCTGCGGCTTTAGTGGCATCGGTGACAGCAGTGCCGAACCGTCGGTTGGTGCCGAAATTGTGACGCGTGGCTGGCTTCGGGCCGCATTCGTCGCTTCGGGGTGTGTCGTGCCGTGGTCGTCGTCTCCGTCGGGGCGGACGACGCCGTCACTGGCCGCGCTCACGGGTTGCCCAACTCTTTCGTGTTGTGATGCCTGTGGTGCAGGCTGTTCCGGAGTGCCAGGTGCTTGAGATTGTGCCTGTTGTGCTCGTGTGAGGTCATTTTGCAAGGACGAGCGTTCTGCCGTCAGCGTCGCGATTTCCTCGGCGCTCTCGCGGATTTGCCGCAGCATATCTTTCAAGTGCTCCTGCGTGAGCGTCGTGATATCAATGTGCTTGGCCATTTCGAAGGGTGTCGGCTCGTCTTAGTCTAGGCGCAGTCGTGGCTCCACGCGTTTACGAGAGAACGCGAGGACAGCGGCTCCTAGGTGCTAAGGTGTGTGAGTCCCTTCGAGTGAAAAAACAAAAGTTGATTTCCTGGGGTGCGGAGATGCGCGGTCCGAAAGAAAGGGGCTCTGAATACCAAGTGTTACGGGTGCAATGAATTGAAGTAGCGAGAATTGCACTAAGGTGTCAAACGAGTACAAAGCTGTGAGCGAAGGCATGAGCGAACATTTATACACGAAACATTCAAACGGTAACGCGGTGCGTGCGAGCTAGCTAGTGCTACGCTGGCAGCAAGGCTCGGGCTAGTCCCAAAGCGTAGGCCGACACGGCCGGGCCAGCAGTGCGAGGTTTGGCAAAACAGTGCGCACGAAGTTGGCGAAGTCCCGTTAGAAGTAACGGGCGAACAACGGCTGTTGCTTTACGCGATGTAGTTGGGCTCCGTAAGGAATGTCGAGAAAATTACTTAGAGGAAGACACCGATGACTATTTATAAGCAATTTGGAATGGGATGTGTTGTGTTGCTGGTGTACGGTACTGGGCATGGTGGCTGGACGCTCTTACTGGTAGTTCGCGTTGCGTTTCTAGCCTGAAACTAAAGTTGAACCCAACCTCCCGAGAGCTCGGGTGTTTCGAGAGATCCGTCGTTTCCCCCCATTCGAGCTTTCCGTTTCCGCCTCACCTGCCAACAGCTTCAGGCCTCTTTAGGCATTTCCGAGATAGAGCATAGTGCTTAGGTCGTCAGTGGCAAGCCTCTTTCGGCAGGAGCTTACATTTCGATAGTAAGCGTGATTAAGTCTCCTTACAACGATTCCAGCAATGGCAAGCATAAGTTAGAAGGTACCGCCATATTCGGGTGCTTGATCCAGCCGCCAAGTTGTGTTCGTTTATTATATCAATTTATAGCGGGGATATCGCGGTAGAGTCTACAGCAGGTGACGCCAGTGTGATTCAAGTGGGGAGCGCGATGGGGAAGCGGAAGCGGAAGCGAATGGGGAGAGGGATTTACTAAGGCGGAGAGATGGCGGGCGGTGGAGAGTTTCGCTGGAAGATCTGGCTGAGGAGTTGGGGAGGGGACGTATTTAACAGCAGCGAGGCAGTACTGCGGGTTCGTAGCAGTGGAATGACGAGCAGAGAGACGGACGTCCCTTTGAAAGTAGGAGCTTATAACGGAACGAGCAATATTGAGTACGGGGGCGGACTGGGGATTGTAACGGGGGAAAGAGCATTGTGTGGAAAAGGGAGGGGATTCTGCCAGCAGTAGGCGCAGAGAAGGCCGTGCCACGTGGCATGGTGATATTGGTTCGTCTTTCAAAAACCTGTTTTGCAGCTAGGCATGGGTATGGCCACTAATCTAGGAGGTAGGTACACAGAATATGGCATATAGTGTCATAACAAGGGTTGAAGCGTACTGCTGCTGCAGCTTAACAATCCACAATTCCTCTCTCTGCCCCTTCGTTTTGCCAACTCCCGTCTGCCCCTCCCCACTTTCCCCCCTCCTTGTTTCTCCCACATGCCCCTTCTCCTTTCCTCTTCCCCCTGTTCCCCTTTTGCCCCACCTTTGCCCCTTCCCCTGCCCTTTTCCCTTTTCACCTTCCCCCTTGCCCCGCCTCCCTGTCCCTCAACACGCCCCCCCCCCCCCTCCCTCCCCGCCTCCTCTTTCTCCTCCCCTTGCCCCCCTCTTGCTTTTTCCCGTGACCCTCCCCCCTTGCTCCGTCCCCCTGCCCCTCAATCTGCGCCCCTGCACTCTGTTCCTCCCCCTCGGCACTGCCTCTGAACCCTCTGTCCGCGTTAGGAGCGTCCCCTTTACAGATAGTTCCTCTCGTCCACATACGGCGCTGTGCAACTCGTTACCGGGCCATTCTTCATGTCACGGTGAGAGAAGGGAGACGGGTGGGAGGGGGGAGAGAGGGGGGGAAGGCGAGGGGCGGGGGAGGGGGAGGAGAGGGGGAGGGGGAGGAGAGGGGAGGTGGAGGAGAGGGGGAGGGGGAGGATGACTTCCGTGAATGTCTGGATGGGTGGGGGGTGTGGGGGAGTTGCCTGCTGCTCTAAGTGACTCAGTTTCCCCTGTGCTCGTATCTAGAGCAGAACACCAGTATAATGAGGAGAGAAACATGACGCACTGCTGACAAGCAAGAAGAGGTTTCCATCTCTCGTTGCTGTGCGTCTGCCTCACTCTCGATGCACACGCAAATGAGCTATTCCCTTGTTTCCCTTGGCAAAATGGAATCTGCGCTACTTATGTTCGTGCATGTCGATTCTGACATTGTTTCACTTAGGATGGGCATGGGCATGGGCATAGGCATGCATGGGCATGGGTAGGGCCATGGGCACGGGCAGATGCACAGCCATGCCAAAAAACCACTGGGCAGGGGCATCTCCTCATCTCCTCATCTCCTCATCTCCTCCTCTCCTCATCTCCTCCTCTCCTCATCTCCTCCTCTCCTCATCTCCTCATTTCCCCATCTCCACCTCTCCTCATCTCCTCATTTCCCCATCTCCTCATCTCCTCCTCTCATCATCTCCTCATCTCCTCATCTCCTCCTCTCCTCATCTCCTCATTTCCTCATTTCCACATCTCCTCATTTTCCCATCTCCTCATCTCCTCCCCCCCCCCATCTCCTCCTCTCCTCATCTCTCCATCTTCTCCTTTCCCGTGTGCTACTGGGAATCACCAAGCACAGCATGAATGAAGTCAAGGCGTATGTGGCTGGTCACACCACAACCACACTATGTTGCACCTGACGCGTCCAGTGTCCATGACGCTAGCGTCCAGACGCTAGACGCTCGGGTGCGATTGTGGTGGACGCTCACTTGACGCTCGTCCGGGCAGGGGAGCATTTTTTCAACGGGCAAGTGGAGAAGAACCAGCGGTAGTAAAAGCAAAGCAGGGGTTAAGACGAATAACATGACATGTTTACCAAAATCTCCAGAAACATCACAACATCCCCAACATTCGCACACGAGTCAATTCCCAAGGTTCACACATGCATAAGTTAGGGGGCTGTGGGCACATATTTGTCATCAAGCACACGGTCGTTGTTCGAGGTGGGCAGGTGGGGCTTGGAGCAGGGCAGGTGGGGCTTGGAGCAGGGCAGGTGGGGCGCCTATTTGCAGGGGTGAGGGTCAGTGAGGCGGTTGGAACAGCTAGTCACCCTGTCATGGAGTAGTGATGAAGGCGTATGAGGTAGGTACGATCCCACCGTGCCCGCCAACACAGCCGTGAAGCAGGACAGGTGAGGAAACTGTTGAAATGTCTTCAACTGTGAGCTGGGCAATGGGTGAGGTTTGATGGGTGAGGATTGATGGGTGAGGTTTGGCAATGGGTGAGGTTTGACAATGGGTGGGGTTTGGCAATTGGTGAGTTTTGGCAATAGGTGAGGCTTGGAAAATGGTTGGGATTGGGCAATGGGTGGGATTGGGCTGTACTGGGATGTGGGAGAGGTTCGGCAATGTGAATACTGGTTCAACAAGTGGGAGGGTAGGGCATGGGCAATGGGCAGGCATGGGAAATGGGCAGGCATGGGCACGGGCATGGGCATGGGCATGGGCACAGACACACAGTAATTGCTATGCGAGTGAGTAAGTGGCTTTCACAGGCAACCATTCAGACATTTCAATGCTCTATGTTGCATGTCTGTAGATGCTATGCTACTGCACCATCACCTCTCCCCCTCACAGTGTATCCATTTTACTATTGCAGGATTGCAGACGCACTAAGTCACAGCAGTTCATGAACCTCATGAGGATCAAAATATCTTGAGCCCCTCGCATATGCCACATGGCCAGTCAGCAAAAGCAGGCGGGCAATGCGAGCACAAGAAGAAAAAATCGCTCATAAGACGGCCAGTCGAGCACCGAGCTTTCTGCTCTCTTGTCTTCCTGAATCTCTTACTGCTGCTTGAAACTTCCTAATTGAATAGTTAAACGCAGAAATATGACAAATTCTGCAAATCGGCTAACACATGTTACTGGAAGCGCCAGAGGGGGTAGAACTCTAAGGCTGTTCAACAAGGAACATTTTACAACAGTCTCATTCTTTGATGCATTTTCTAAATCATGTAATGGTAAACAGTGCTGTTACTCTCAGAATCCCAACCACTAGACCATTGGGATAAAAGGGCTTGTTTTTAGTAGCGGGTCAGTGCGCCCATAACCCCCCAGGCAAACGTGCCTGTAACCCTTCCCTAGGATCGATCGGGGATCACCAGTGGACCTCTGACACCCCCCCGCACTGGGATGCCCGAAGTGCATACACCGGGATTCGAACCCGAGACCTTCGCTCTGATACCATCTCAGAATCCCAACCACTAGACCATTGGGATAAAAGGGCTTGTTTTTAGTAGCGGGTCAGTGCGCCCATAACCCCCCAGGCAAACGTGCCTGTAACCCTTCCCTAGGATCGATCGGGGATCACCAGTGGACCTCTGACAGTTACTACAGAAAATACATTCTACATAGCGAGCCAGCCAATACCCGACTTTCGCGCTGACTGAGGCGTTGAATATTGTCGTTGATTTTCAACTTTGTCGGCAACCTTGTGTGCACCAGTCTCTGGTTGTTCCGAACCCACAACTTCTGGAGCTCCCAAACGAAAATCCAAACCTGGAACCAGTTGTGAGAGCTTTGACTCGCGTCACCTCTGTTCCACCTAGCTTCCCCTCACTTATATATAGCCATTGCCTAGAATCTCATTTCACTCACCCACCAACACCTTCCACTAAATCCTCGACTTCTTTCACCCAACATAGAGCTTTGAAAGCATCTCGTCAATCGCAGCTAGTAACAGCGGGAAGCAAACTCTTTTCTTTCCACTTCGTCAATCTCAGCACGGAAGTAGTAGCCATGGCCGCATTCAGAGCGTTAGTCCTCGCGTGCGTACTTCTCCTCGTGTCGACGTCCGCCTTGGCGCAGCGTGGTCCGCCTGGCGGAGGATCTCCCAGCGGTCAGCGCGGAGGCCCTGGCGCCGGTCCCGGTGGTCCTGGCGGTCGCGACGGTCCCGGCTGGCCTGCCGCAAAACCGCCGCATGGCCCTCCGTTGAACCTGACGGCCGTCGGGAATTTGACGGCAGATGTTGGCTCGCGGCTCGCCAACTGCACCGTGGATCAGAAGACCCTCAACGGCAGCTTCCACCTCGCCGTCTTCAAGTAGGCTTCGCTGCTTCCCTTCTCTCGCCTAGCATTGCGAGAAAACGATAGTCCATTTTGCAATCGGTTTCCAATCGCTACCAGGGCTTAGTTCTTAGGATTGATTCCGCACGAATCACTCGGCATCTTCTGATCGTCACGCTCATTGCGTTTTCCCCTCTTCCCCCCTGCCCCGTCCCCCTCCCCTCTTTCCTTGCCTTCTCGAAGGAACTCTACAGGAAACTACAACCTGCTGGTCGAGGCGGTTCTCGTGGACGCGGCGGGCGGCCCGCCCGACTCGCTGGCGATCGTGAAGGGCGCCGTGTGCGACTCCGCCGCGACGGACGTGCTCGCGCTGCCGCTCGCCGCGGCAGACTGGCAGCAGCGCGCGGGGTGGTGGCTGCTGCACGCGGAGGCGCGCCTCGACGCGTTCCTCGAGAACGCGGACGCCGCCACCCTCGACGCGCTGCTCGCCGTGCTCCCCACCGCCTCGCCTCCGCCCACCAGCGGCGGCGGGCGCAACGGCGGAGGCAGCGCCGGCGGAGGCAGCGCGGGGGGTGCGCGGAACGGGCAGGGCGGGAGACGCATGGGGCGGGAGCTGCTGATGAGCGCATTCGGCCGCGCTGCCAGGCAGAGAGGGCAGAAGCAGGGGGGGCAGAAGCAGGGTGGAGCGCAGCAGGCGCCTGCAGTGAGCGGGTATGCTGTGCTGGCGGGCAGCAGCGCAGCAGGTGTGACGTGGGGCGGGCAGCTCATGGGCGCCAAGATGCCCGCCGCTGCTGCTTGATGCTCCGCTGCCGTGTCGCTGCTGCTGCTGCCGTTGGTCCTGCTTGAACTCATCCTGATGCATGCTGAGATTCCTGCTGCTTGAGGGATCACTGCCTTGAGGACGACTGTGGCATCAGCTTGGGACTTCCATGATGAATAATCACCTGCAGGGTGTGATGGGTTACAGGGCTTTATCTGTGTGTGTCTGGACTGGATAGCTTTGCTTAGTCTCCCGGGAAGCAGCTAAAATAGGTGAAAGCATCAGGGGCAAGAATGCTGGCAAGGCATTAGGGGATACCAACTGACTTGCCAGTCTTCCTATGACTTGCCAGTCTTCCTACCCTTGATTGTTCCTGTGATGTTATTTGTTGTTATTTGTGTCATTTGTGTGGCTGTGAGTAATTTTTAGTCAGTGTTTGTTCTCTCTTTCTTTTTTTGTCAGACATGTGTCGGGATAGAAATATCTTCACCTGAGAGTAACAGATCTCTCAAAACATGTTCTTAATATGAAATATGAATAACAAGATAAACATGTTCTCTCTTTCTTTTTTTGTCAGACATGTGTCGAGATAGAAATATCTTCACCTGAGAGTAACAGATCTCTCAAAACATGTTGTTACCGTATGGCCCCGGATATAGGCGCCGTCCAATTAAAGGCGCCGGCGCCATATCTGGAGCATGGCGCTTATGGCCGTTCCTCGATTATAAGCGCCCCCCCTGTAAAACCCTGATTTATTATAAGAGCATGTATAATTTTATTCTTTCAATCCTGATTTAAACAGTAACGAATTCCGAAATTCAAGCGAGTCAGCACCCATTTTCACTTTGTTTGACTTTCGAGGTCCTGACTGGTTTCGCGTCCAGTCAGGATGAGGTGGCACGCGGGCAAATTGACGTGCGAAAAGCTATGTGCAGCGTCAGAGATTCGCCCTCACGCGATTCAAATTTAGGACGCTATTGAATGTCGACTCGATTGAACCTACGAGATAGAAATGTACATTTTAATGCATTAAAGTTGTATTTATGTATTTGTCATTATATAAGCGCCGGCACTCATGGCCGATACTCAATTAAAAGCGCCCCCACCAAAAAAAACCGATTTTATTATAAGCGCATATTCGCTACTATCCGGGGTAATACGGTACTCTGAAATATGAATAA